AGGGAGGCAAATTTACGGCGATGGGAATTCTTAAGTTAATGATTGAATAAACCTATAGCAAGTTCTACGACAATAAAATATCCGTAGAAATATCCCTATCGCATCGTTAAATATTTTATCTTAACAAAATATTGTAATAACAATCATAAATATGAATGTTGATCGTTATTTTAAGAAGTAAGGGGATACAACTTAAAATATTTGGAATTAACAACTTTTTCATTTCCCTGAAACAAACGTTAAATACTTCCGTCTTTTCTTTCACTCCTTCTTTCATTTTTCACTGGAAACCGATTAGCATCTCTGATATGTCTTTTCTGTCTTTACACGCGGTCAGAAGGGAATAGTCCATTATTTATGAGGTATTAATTAGCAAGGCATAACGGTCATGCTAACTAAGGGAGGGGCGAGCTAAATGATAATAGTAATTTAGCTGGTTGGCTTCCTGAATGGTGGCCAACCTTAAAACAAACCTCGTTAATGAGTGTCGTGTCAAATACAAATGAATCAGATAACGGAGTTGATGGGACCGAAGCCAATGGCGAAACTGTCTCGCCCGGTAAGTGTCGCATAGGTGAACAGCATGAGTCAGTTCACCAACGCACGACTGACTGTTCAAGAAAACAAGAATTAAGCGAACTCTTGATGAAAATAATAAATAAACGGTTTATTTTCTTACGTCACAAAAGGAGATCTGAAAATAAATTTGTCGGGCCAAGGGCGGGTGTTAAATGAATATTAGGCACAACCTCTCCCTCGGGAAGAAACTGGGGTAATTACTCGGCGCCTGAAGCGTTTTCCAAAAGTCTTCCATGCTATATTATTAGCGGATACAATCTTGACAAGATATGCAGATGATATGGTGTCGATACCAGACACAGATAGGAAACTGAAGTTGCTTTTAGCTTAGATATTTAAAGAAAGTAAGACAAAAGGACGATCCGTCAATTGTAAGAAGATAGAATGTTTGGTTTTCAGCAAAGAGGAACATCCCAAGATGTGAACCATGCGAACGGAAAGCAAATGCGAAAATGTAAATGTAATACCGAGATCCGAAGGTGGATTGAACTAACGAAAGATGCCTTCGAAAAGCTAAGCAAAGATGCCTTCGAAAAGTTAAGCAAAGATGCCTTCGAAAAGCTAAGCAAAGTATTTAGAAACATTACATTTTCTTTAGAAAACCAAAGCAAAATGGGTTGAACAGTTATGTCATATCGGTCTTCCTAAATGGCAGTAAATGCTGTACAATCTCCTCACAGATTAAAAAGAGACTTGAAATGCGGTTCTACAGAAGGATGCTGAGAATGTCATGAACAGAGCATGTAAATAACGAAGCAGTTTTAAGGAAAATGGAAATGAAAAAGATGCTTATACTTAGAATATAAAAGAGACAGTTGAAATGTCTAAGATATATAATAAGGAAAGAGGTCTTGACATTCCGAGGACATATTGAAGGGATAAACAGCGGATACGCCCTGCCTAACGAGATTGTGTGTGTGGATGGCAGAACAGGACTGGGAGAACTGGTAAAAAGACAAACGTTACTAAACATTACAAAAGATAGGAAGTTGTGGACATCCATAATCGCCCACGTCCTGACACGGTACATAGAAGAACTTGAAAGCTTATTTCATGTATCATTATTAATATTATTAATATTAGGTCTTATCAAAAGCATTTTTGCTTTTCATAGTCCGTTACTCCAAAGCTTATTTTATATACACATATCAGAGTGTGCAGGTGGTGTAATGGATGGTGGCTTGGACTGAGAATCGGAGAGTCGAGTTCGGGCAAATACTCTTAGGGAAGGTATGAATTCATCTCTTCTCCCCCTCAGCTATAGGTTAAATAGTAATACTTGTACCTGTAAAAATCATTGCTATCTCCAAAACATTGTTAGTTTAATATTCACTCGCAAACAACAGCAAAAAAGAATTAATCTTACAATTCAAAATATTTTTAAGTTTTAAGTGTTGCCAGCCGTAAAAAAAAAAAAACGCATCAATCAACAACATATACACCTCTATAGACTATGCATTCATTGTATTATTATTATTATTAGGGTGTATCAAAAGTATTTTCGTTTTTAGAAACATATAAGCTTCTTTCATAGTTCGAAAAGCTATCAATGATTCCACTGTTATTATTATTACTGTTGTTGTTGTTGCTGTTGCTGTTGTTGGTGGTGGTGATGGTTTTACAGTTCATATATACCTTTTATTTCAGGTGAGGATTTCTGACAATTTTAAGACAGTTGGTTTCTCATAGCTGCTGAAGGAGCCCACGCAATTCTTCACGTGGAAGGAAGCGAAACAATACAAGACCGTATTGTCTAAAAGTGGTTAAAGCGTTTCCAGGTACATAACTTGTCACTTGAAACGACGATCAGAATTTAAAACGCAACGTAGAAGAGAGCCTAACACTCCCACCCCCTTCCGTCGAAAACTTTTAGAATATCTAGGAACATCGAAAGACGCCATGTGTACAACATTACATAAGCTTAGCAAAAACACCATCAGTCCCTTGATTGTTTCAATCGTCTGAGGGAAGACCTGAGGGTAGAAAAAAAAACAGACAACCTCCCCCAGGCTGATTTGTCGATCTGGTATCATGTTGTTTTGATTCTTTCTGGTCCTGATTCTTTCAGGTGACTTGGCAGCGCCAATCTCCTCTCCAGGCTCTTGACCGATAGTCAAAGAACACGGATTATGGTGTGTGGTAGACTTCGGTCTGTACATCAAGTTTCGAATTTAGAGTTGTCGTTCTCCTAGATCGGTTGCCACCAAAGGCTATAGGGCCCAGTCTGTCTTACTATTCACTTATAGCTGGGGTGCGGGGAGAAAAGATCCATTCGTATCCAGTGGCGTACCTAGAGTAAACGTCACCCGGGGCCGTCCGCTGAAATGTCACCCCAATGACCCCGATTTACTCTATGCTGAATGGTTAGCTGTAGCTAAATTTTCATACATGCTCTACCTCTACTTTACTCTACTGACCGGTACGTTACTGTTTAAATGTATGATCCAAGACAAAATCCAATACCAGAAAATAATCAGTTCAAATCAAAAGATTTTTAAAATGCAACTGTTCACTTTCAGAACAACTAAATACAAAACACGGCAATACACAAAAGAATGACATTCGATACTATGGTCTTAGAATGAATGTTTTTTTTTTTGATTCATTGTGGCAAACTGGTCAATGACATCGTCAAAATCTGTTTGTCTTGTAAACTCGTTTTCAATGGACAGCACAGCCAGATCCGACAGTCTCGATTGGCTCATTGTTGACGTAATTTTCTGTTGCTAATTTTCCGGTGTCCAATTTTCCGTTGCATCATTTTCTGGGTACCATTTAATTATCAATGATGTTTGAAAGTATTTTTCTTGACAAAAATGTTCTATTTAATTTTTAAGCATTTTTCGGAACATTGTAAATCAACTGCATTCTTTTAAAGGTTACCTAGAGAATTTATGCAAAATTTATTTTTTGGTTTTTCTTTATACAAGTAAAATAAATTTAAATCGTATTTTGATGTTATTATGATTTTAATTTTAGTGATAATTTAAAAACAATAAATATTTATCATTAGTACCAATAATGGAAAATTAAGTTAAAAATTTAAAAGAATCGTTTTTGGAATCGGAAAATAGGCACAATTTTTTCCGATTCCGATACCGTTTCCGATACCCCAAAGTTCCGATTTTTCCGATTCTCGATACCGATTCCGATTAATCCTCCCAATACTAGTAGATATATTCAAAAGTATATCGCTCACTCAATGGAAAATTGTATCTCGTCGAATTGATACACAGGCAAGACTGAAATTGTTGCACTTTTGGCTTCGTATTTCGCTTTGTTGTTATTAATGATGCAGAGTTAAAACACCATATCATCCGATAAAATGTTACAACAATGTCTCTTGTTAGTAACCAAGATTGTAGCAACTGAAACACATGAAAGCTGAAAACATTTCTATTTTTCCTACTCACAAATTTCCCGACAATTTATTAGAAAATTTCTGACGGGGGAACAAAACTGGGGGGTCATAAATTATTTCTGGGGGGGTCATATGCCCGCCTGCGAAACCCTGTGTCTCCACCACTGTTTTCAGACTATTTTTGCACCTTAGCCTGGTTGAAAATTTTGTTGGAGGCAAACATTGTGTCACCCCTCATGTGCAGGCACCCAGGGCGGTCCGCCCCTCAATAAAAACTAGCTACGCTACTGTTCATACCTTCCCAAGGGTATTTGCGCGTCCCTATAACTAACTGGAATTCGAACTTGGCTCTCCGATGTCTAAATCTGAGCCGTTATCCATTACTTCGCCGTGCCTCCATAAAAACAAACAAAAAAAAAACAAAACAAAAAACAAAAAAAATTGCGGATTATAAAAAAACGAACATTTTTGGATCCATTTCAGTTTATCAGCATTGTTTCTTATCGTCTATAAATAAAACGAATTACGTAATCAGATAAAAAGACACTTTGGACATTGTTTAATGTTTGGTAGCAACTCAGCAAATTGCATTTATCACGCCGTACTGCCGACTAATTTCAAATACCGAGATAAATATTCTCTACTTTTTTTCCAGATCATAATTTCTTTCATAAGTTAAGTCTATTCGTTGTATTTTTTAATTTTTTTTTCATTTTAAATTTCAGCTATATTTATGACTTCGTATCTAAATTAAATCATTCTAAAAGTAATAAGTGTACATTGTGTAAATATAATGACCGTATGACATACTATCGAGTAAAGATGTCTGAGTTACAAAACACTGAAAACTATTTTGTAAGTCACTCTCTATCCCGTAGACTAATGTTTACCCAGGGACCATAAGCTACAACTACTTGTACTAAGGCTAATTTTATACTACTGTAATGAATATAAATATGCGTGTCTTCACTGAAGTCATGTTTGGACAGTATCTTAGATGAGTGACCTCCTAGGAATGCCAAGCGTAATGAATATAAATAGGTCAGTCTTATATGCTCTCAGAGACACCTATTCTCATCCGATCGCCGAAGCTAAGCAACGTTGAGCCTGGTCAGTACCTAGATGGGTGAACACTTAGGAATACTAGGTGTAATGAATGGAAATAGGTGGGTCTTGTGTTATCAGAGACAGGTGTACGTTGAAATACCAGTTCTCGTCCGATCAACGAAGTTAAGCAACGTCGAATTTGGTCAGTACCTAGATAGGTGAGCGCTTAGGCGTACCAGGTGTAATGAATGTAAATAGGTGGGTCTCACATGGTATCAGACAGACTTACAGTCATATCACCATGAAACAGCGGTTCGCGTCCGATTACCGAAGTTAAGCAACGTCGAAGTTGGTAGATGAGTAACCACTTAGGAATACCAGATGTAATGAATATAAATAGGTGGGTCTCATATGCTATCAGAGACAGACAATGATTATATCACCAAGAAACACCGGTTCTCGTCCGATTACCCTAGGTAAGCAACGTTGTGTCGGGTCAGTATCTAGATGGGTGAGAATTTAGGAATACTAAGTATAATGAATGCAAATAGGCCCCAATGGATAAAAGCGTTGGTTGAAGTAAGCCAGTGACTCAACCCAAAGTGTTGTACAATAACTGAATATTCGGAAGAGATATGGCATGTGGAACTCAAACAATCTTCTCCGGTGGACGAAAGTAAGGGTTCGATTCGAAATCACCTGAAGAAAACCAGATCATAAAACGGCTGAAACGTCGTGAATATGACAAGAAAGATGAGGACAACAATGTAAATATTATATATATATATATATATATATATATATATATATATATATAGATAGATAGATTGATAGATAGATAGGTCTTATGTTATCAGAGACAGTTTTACCGCTACATCACGTTGAAACACCGGTTCTATCACAGATGTTAAGCAATGTCGAGCCTGGTGACCGTTTAGGAACTTCTACGTCTAATGAATGTAAATAGGTGGGTCTGTAGTGAACAAAACAAGATCTAGATTTAAAATTCAAATGCTGACTCATTGATTCTGTTAGAAATTAAAAAAAGATTCGAATTTACAAACTTTGCTTAACACACACGCAAAAGCGAATCCAAAACAAAACTCGTGAAATTTCACACCTTAATGCTTAATGTTTTTTGGCCAATAGGACAACTAGGAAACATTTAAAAACAAAATTCAAATAATCTTTAATTCTCAGAAACAAATTCTTTTACGGAACTTTTCGCGAGCCGACGCAAAGTTTGTTCATCGTCCAATGGAAAGACCCGAATCATATCCGAGAATGAATTCCCAAATGAGCTTTTCAAGCCCCACAAACAAAATAAAAGATGGGCAAGTTCGCCTGTCACCAGAAAGAAGATGAGCGTATTAACACATCCCTTGACAAACATCAAGCGATCGTTATTATTATCCCTACCTTTCTCCCTCATCTCTATTATATTTGATAAACGAACGGAACATTTTAAGACTGAGTGATTACTACCCTACGATAACGCTCATACATACATACATACATCCACACATACGTTCCTGCCTACATACACATAAACTCATTCTTGCAAAGACTTCTACGAACATCAGGACGACCTTGTATCAACCAAAATACATTAATTTTATTTGTAGAGACCTTAATTGATTTATATGTATATAAATTTGTTGTTTTACTTTACAATTTGATTTTCTTGTTTTATACCCCTCTTATGGTGGGCTATCTAACTAACAAGGCCAAATCAAACAAATCTGTTTCAGCACTCATACACTTCACTATAACTGATAACCCACTATAGATCTCATATGCTACCAGAAAAAAAGCTGTATAAGTAAAAAAAAAAAAAACTGAGGTTAAACAGAAAACTTGTCACTAAGAAATTTAACTTTCTTACTTATTTCAAACATTGAGGCTTTGTTTGTACCAGAATTTTTTTAAACTTCTGCATCGGATATCAATCATTACTTCTTAAATCACGAATTTTAAATTTTTCGTTTAAAGGAAGAACTTTACAAATTATTTTTTTGGTATATCAAAACTGACTACATCCGTACTCTTGAAATTTATTGCCTCTATTAATAAAATATCCACTGTTATTCAATAACTAAGCTGAACAGCAGCATGACGCCGCAGCGGCCGAGATTTCATGCTGAGCGCCATTTTACTTTACACCATAAATTAATAATTAGTTAACAAAAGGGAAATAACTTCTCCCACAGAAAAATATATTTGAGTACATCTTGTACCTCGGTTTTTGGGTTAATTTGCAGTGTAACACCCGCACTCGGTTCGCATTCAAACTTTCCAGAATACTTAAATTTATGTGTAATTGTACATGCTCCATTCGAATCTGGCTTGATAAATTGGATAAAATCTAGCGTTTTGGAGTTATCGACAGTGAAAGTTTGGATTCATTCGCGTCGTTAGCGGCCGCCATCACTCGCGTTGTTTGCATACATTCGCTGCGGAAAGCTAAACGCGGAAGACTACGGAAACCTAAGCTCGAAACTGATCTTTCTTGTCTAAATTTATCGCAATTACTGCGCACGAGAACTATTTACGGAGACACGCTCAGTTTGCGCAATGATACCTATACTGATAGCTATTCTGCAGTAAATGTATACAAACAACGCCCGTAATGGCTGCTCGCGACGCGAATGAATCCAAACTTTCACTGTCGATAGCTCCAAAACAGTAGATTTTATCAAATTTATCAAGCCAGATTCGAATGGAGCTCGTACAATTACACATAAATGTAAGAATTCTGGAAAATTTTACTGCGAACTGAGTGCGGATGTTACACTGCAAATTAACAGGATTTTGTATGCAAAGTTGATATCTCCTGTAGACAAATGTTTATGCAGACGGCATAAGCTATAACTATTTGTAGCTAATATAGTATTTTAATACGATAAAGAACATAGATGTTTCTTCACCGAAGTTAAGTAACGTTGATCTTGGTCAGTACCTTAGTTAAATGATTGCTTAGGAACTTCAACGTGTAACGAATATTTGTGTGTGTTTATTATGTTATCAGAGACAGGCTTACGTTAAATCACCGGTTCTCGTACGATCCCGAAGTTAAGCTGAGAAACTTTCACGTGTAATGAATATTTAAGCAATGTCGAGCCTTGCCAATACTGATATGGGTAACCACTGAGAAACTTTCAGGTGTAACGGATATAAATAGGTGAGTCTTATAAGCTACCAGCGACTGGCTTACGGTCATATCACCATGACACACTAGTTTTCGTCTGATCACCAAAGTTAAGCAACGTCGAGTCTGGTCAGTACCTAGATGGGTGACCGCTTCGGAACTTCCAAGGATAATGAATGGAAATACGTGGGTCTTATATGCTATCATAGACAGGTATACAGTCACATCACTATGAAATAGTGGTTCTCGCCCGATCACCAAAATTAAGCAACGTTGAGCCTGGTCAGTATCTAGATGGGTAACCGCTTAGAAATACTAGGTGTAATGAATGTAAACAGGTGCGTCTCCTAGGCTAAAGAGAAAAAGCTATGTAAGTAATAAATTGAGGCTAAAAAGAAAAATTAGCTTGTCAATAAGAAATTTAACCTTCTTAGTTTTTTCCCGAATCGAAACTTTGTTTCAGAAATTTTGCAGATTTTGTTTAAGATATTTCTTTTTACTTCTGAAATCACAATTTTTAAATTTTTCGTTTAAAGAAAGAACTTTACAGATTTTTTTTTTAATATTAGAATTGTCTACATCAAAATAGCCTTTCTCTACCCCTCTTTTTTCGCCTTGTGCCACATTTTTGTATTACAACATAATTAATATTACTTTCCTCTAAGACTACATTGGCACTTTGAGGTATTATATTGGCTGTAGTAAGAATGGTAAGTAAGAATGCGTTGCTTTGGTGTAAGGAATACTCTGGTATCGTTTGGTCAGTAATTATGGCAAGCTGAGTTTAAAATAAGACAAATTGAAGACCAGTCTTCCCCTGTCCCTCCTTTTGGCCTTGTGCCACATTTTTGTATTACAACAAAATTAGTATTACTTTCCTCTAGGACTATGCTGACACTTGTAGCGGACCGTGGCGGTGATGAGTATGTAAAAGAATACACGTGAGTTAAAATTTCCTGCTAGCCGGTCCAACTACATGAGAAAGTTGGACTTTAATTAAGTCTAAAGAAAACAAACAAGACCGCTAAATATATGTAAACAAATGTATGTATTAATAACAAGTTACAAAAAAAATGGACAGAGTTTGTGTGGTGAAAATTATGTGTGTGTTGTGGTGAGTGTTCGTACGTATTGTTCTTAGCGTGTTCCCAGAATTTGGGAAACGCTGTATCTGTGAGAACTCACAACTGCGAAGTGGTATAAGGCCCAAGGCCTGAGGAAAAAAAAGAGGTCGAGGCGAAGGGTCAGCCAGTATTTATAGCCAGGGGAGAGAGACCCCTGGTGAAGGGTTAAGGAGTTGAGGAGGAGCTAACTCCGACACACTTTGAGGTATTATGTTGGCTGTAGTAAGAATATTAAGTAAGAATGTGTTGTTTTGGTGTAAGAAATACTCTAGTATATTTGGGTCAGTAATCGTGGCTAGCAAATTTAAGATAAGACAGATTGTAGACTAACCATCCCCTATCCCTCCTTTTGGCCTTGTGACACATTTTTACATTTTCAAAATAAATTAAATGTCTATATCCCTAATTTTGTTGCTATTATCGATAAAATACCCTTTGTTATTCAGTAATTAAGTTGAACAGCAGCATAGCGGTGTCACGGCCGATATTTCATGCTGAGCACCATTTCACTATACACCGTAAGCCCATTAGCTGTTAATTAGCGAATGACAGAACAATTTTCCCACAAATAAATATATTTAAAGTAAACGGCCAACCAACTACGAAAATGAAATGAGTTAAACAATATCGTTTCAGTACTGAAAATGCCTTCTTTTTATTCTAAATATAAAAGAATCCTTGGTAAATTTGCTTTGTAACGCCCGCGCTAAATATCTCTTAAAATTTTCCCAAATCGTCATAAATCCGTGTAAATGTACCTGCTGAACTCGAATTAACAATTAAATTATGAAGAAACCTACCGTTTTGGCGTTATCAATAAGAAAAAATCGGACTTCTTGTTGGTCATTCCGATGGCGTAAGCATAAATTTGGGCCTATTTACTTCTTTTACAGCTATATCTCTTTTTGAAATAACTACGCATTATCGTAAAGTAATTTTTTGGATAAGTGTAGTTTTATTTATAACAGAAAATGTTAAACAAAAACAAATTCAATAATACAATAAAACCTTTTTTTCTTTGTAGAATAGCAATGACAAATTAAAAGAACAAATTAAATAATACAATAAATCATTTTTTTATATTTTAAAATTGAAAATAAAACAAACAATAATTAATGCGCAAACTTGGTAAAGTAGAAACGAAATAAGAGTTGATTGTATTATTTAATTTTTTTTAATTTCCCCCTTTTTCTACACAGAAAGAACTCTAACTTCATCCCTAACCCTAACACCTAACCCTAAACTTAATCCGGTTTATTGTATTATTTTTTTTTTAATTTGTCCCCTTTTCTACACAGAAAGAACCCTAACCCATCCCTAACCCTAATACCTAACCCTAAACTTAACCCATAAACATAACACTTTGTAAAGAGCATGATTATGTACAAAATAAATTACAAAATAAAACAAAATGCTAGAAACGAAATAATGGTTTATTGTATTATTTGTCATTGCTATTCTACACGAAAAAGGGGTTCTATTGTATTATTTAATTTGTTTTTGTTATAAATAAAACTACACTCTTTTTTATGCCTTTTTTATTCTAAATATAAAAGAATCCTTTTTGCTTCTATTATCCTCAAAACTTCCTTATGACTTCTATGCTCAGTTCCTGATATTCTCAGCATCTTTCTGTAGAAATTCGTTTTATCGACTCAATTAGTAGGTCTGCTACTAGGAAAATTTGTTCACTGTGTCGTGCAAGACAATTTTCCTCGGCACAATATATCTAACACCTGTATAAGTTTACCATTCGTTCATGCTCCCAATATTGTTGTCACATCTGGTGTGGTGCTTCTGCTAGAGGTTCTTAACAAAATCCAAAGAAGAATCTGCATTGTTATCGATCCTAACCTGGCATCTTGGCTTCAATCGCTTTCCTACCGCTGTAACGTGGCTTGTTCATAATTTTTCTATAAATATTTTCATGGCAACTGTTTTGATGAACTTTCCACTTTAAGAAAATTGTAATCATTTTAAATATTCACTGAGGTTTAAATTTTTAAAAGATGTTTTTTTTTTTTTTTATTTGAGACTTCATAGAGACTTTGGGGCATTATGGTAGCTGTAGTAAGAATGTGTTGTTTTGGTGTAAGGAATACTGTGATATGTTTGGGTCAGTAATTGTGGCTAGCTAAGTTTAAGATAAGGAAGACTGAAGACCAACCTTTCCCCATTCCCCCCTATTGGCCTTGTGTCACACTTTTACATTTTCAAAATAAATATTACTCTCCTCTTTGGTACATCGACTTAACGAATTTAAATGTAGTACTAGACTGGCAGTTAGGTCTCATCATTTTGCTGTTGAAATTGCTAGATCTAACCGTAAGTTTTGTTCTGATCATTTCTTCTCGCCTGTGGAACTATGTTATGGCTTCTTGTTTTTCCTGTCAACTATGATCTTTAAATGCAACGTCAGTCGACATCTTTCGTCTTTTTGAAACCTGTTCTTTTATTGTCCTTTCTCCTCGGTAACGTTTTTTTTTTCAGTATCTTATCTTGCGTTTTTGTTTCTTTGTCGCATGTACTTGGGTGTATCAAATAATCAGTCTTTTGAATTCATATCGTATTCGCCCAGTCTGTCCACATGTTAAATGTTCTACAGACAGTCTGGCACCTTACTTCCTATATAGGCTTTGAAGAGTTTTAGGCATCTCAGAGTGAGATAATAGGCTAGTTTAGTTGACCATTACATTGGTCGGCGCGTAATTTCCCCGAACCACCCCTACCGGGGGATGAGAGCCTCATTGGGGGCACGGGAAGTGCTTTGTGACCTTCTTATCATTTCATTTTTCTCCCTAATTTATGTTATAAATTAAAATAAGTACAACTACTAAAGGATTAAAAAAAATTCCGGATTTTGCCGTCATTCTGGGGCCTTTTTTTCCCCCAAATCCGTGCATTTATTTTACTCATCCTAAGACTCGAAAAAGCACTATATAAAATTCACCATTTTTTATCCATAATGTTGAATGTGTTACATTATTCAACAAGAAAAATCTTAAGCTAATGTTAAAAATTGCTGCAAAACATTGTTGATTTATTTAAGATGAAATGATCTATTCTGACATGTCTCTAATTTTTATTTAAATACATTGTATTTATTTTCAATTTTTCTACTTGAATTATCCACCTATGTAGCATATGATCGATTATTGTAGATAATTAGGTTATAGTAAAATTTGTATTTTACCTTATGAAAATTGAGACGTATATGGGCCCCAAGTCCAAGATTCTGGCGGACATGAAACTCTTGTACCGACCCAGCTACTGAGCAGTGAAATCAGTGACATATTATTTACATTATTCAGACTGTTATCCTCATCTTCATTGCCATATTCACAACGTTTCCGCTGTTGCACGCTCCAGCCTTCTTCAGGTGATTGGAATTTCAAACCTAACCCTTTATTTCGTCCACCGAGGTAGATCATTCTAGTTCCACATGGCATGATCTCTTTCAGATGTCTCAGTTATTTCCTTTAACTCGGCTCTCCAAGTTTTGGTTCACCACTGCTGTGGCCTGGTATTGAACTCACGACTCTTTGGGTCTAGCCACTGAGTCTAACCAACGCCCTTAGCCAAGTTGTGAATTCAATACCAGGTTATAGCAGTGGTGAACCAAAAACTTGGAGAGTTGAGTTAAAGGGAAATAACTGAGACATCCGGAAGAGGCATAGCACGTGGAACTAGAACAATCTATCACGGTGGACGAAATAATGGGTTCGGTTCGAAATTCCAATCCCTGGAAGAAAGCTCGAACATACAACGGCCGAAACGTTGAGAATATGGCAATGAAGATGGGGATAACAGTCCGAATAATGTAAATAATGTAAGTAATCATAATACCTCATCTCAGAGATATAGACAGATAGTGAAATCGGTCTTCAAAATCCGACATTATCACTTCTTCCGGGTGTTCCAACGTGATTCGGGTCTTTTATTATTCTCGCTCCTTAGTAATGTTTTTCTTATATTCTTTCACACTCAGTAACCTCTCTTCTTCTGCTTTGCTTGGAGTAAAATGATTAAGAAAATATA